GGGGGGATGGTCACGCCGCAATCCCTTCTCCTCCATTCTCCTCTCGGGATCTTGGGCACGCACGCACACGCGCCCGGCGTGAGATTTAAGCCACCGGGTCCGAGACGCGAACCGTGGTCGACTACGTGGGAGTCCAGCGACATAGCCATTACGCTAACTGCTGGTTCCCTGCTTCATTGTTCTTGTTGGAAAGAAAAATCTTGCAGTTCAGAGGACCTTTATAAGATGTTGTCATGCTTTCCCACAGGGGGAAGGTCCTGGGTTCTTTTCCTGAGACCTCTTGAACATGTGTGTGTGCCCCGATCTGAGCTGGTTGAGACTGGCGATAGATCGTAATATTAAGATCCCACTGGATGTAACTGGATGGACAAGGCAGGGTACAATGAAAGAGAGCACCGAATCTCACTCAGCATGAGCGCTGACCGGGAAGGAAGATAGACAAATAGATTGGTTAGTACAAACCAGTCAAGCCAGTCTCCTGGTGGGTAACTCCACTCCCCGGACTGTATGTGGCCTCAGTCAGTGCTGTCTGTGTCTCACTCCAGCTCGTCAGTCAGATTCTGGGTGACGGACTCACCTGGGCACAAGGGGTATTGTACCTTGAGAGGGGTGAGATGCACAAAGCAGTACTTTTATTTGTTTCTTTTTAAATAATAGTAATTTCTTTTTTAACCAAGAGGGAGCATGCATTAGCAGGAGTTGGGGGAGGAGGGCAGTGAGAAAGCACTCCCCATGGGGAATCCCTTCTCCTCCATTTCTCCCTTCTTTTGGGATTTTCGTGGGCATGCATGCACAGGTGCCGGCATGTTTTTCAACCCACTGAATCTGAGACTCAAACCATGTTGTCATCCATGTGGGATCTAGCCACTTTAACCACCATGCCACTGGCTGAGCCCAATAATGGTCATCTTTCCAGACAGCTAGTATGAAGAAATGCTTCCATGAACAAGGATGCTATTGGGATCAGCAGATGGTGTAATGGCTATGTCACTGGACTCCCATATAGTTGACTGTGGTTCGAGTCCCAAACCTGGCGGCTTAAACTCACGTGTGTGTGCGTGCCCAGGATAATATTTATAATACAGCTCAAGCAAGTATGTCTGAGGAATGTCTAACTCTCTTCAGGGCCAAGGGTGTCAGGGAAGACTCCTAGGAGGAGGTGATGGTGGAAGTGAGTGTGGGAAAATGAGCAGGCGCCCTAGCTATGGCTAGAGGGTCAAGGTGGGAAGACATCCCAGGCAGAGAGGAGCTCTGCTCCTGTGAGAGCTCAGCAGGCAGGAGAGCTGCCTGGGTTCATCTTGACTTGAGGAAGGGCGGGGCTAAGGGAGAGGTACTGAGGGATGTGGCTGGAGGCGGGAGGTCGGGCTACTTCAGGAAGGATCTTACGTGCCGGGCCGTGGAGGTTAGACATTGTCCTGTAAAGAGCCAGGAGCCAGGGGAGAGTATGTGACTGAGGAGTATAGCATTAACATGTCGAGTTAATGCTTTAGGACCTTTGAAGAACCAGCAGATGGCGTAATGGTTACGTCGCTAGACTCCCACGTAGTTGACCACAGTTCAAGTCCTGGACCCGGCAGTTTAAAACTCACACCAAAGGCGTGTGAGTTCATATCCAAAATCTTGAGAGGAGAATGGAGGAGAAGGGATTTCTTACTTTCTGTCTCTTGGGCAAGTGTACACACCCTATAGCAAAAATCTCTCAAAAAGAAAGAAAGAAAGAAAGAAGGAAGGAAGGAAGGATGGACGGACAGACACTAGTGACAAGGTGAAGGATGAACTGGGTCCTGAGTGCTGGGATGGTAAGTTTTCTAGCTTTCCTTTAGTGAAACCACGCAGTACAGACTTAAGAGAGGCCGTCCAGGTGAAAGCAGGACGCATGGCTTCTGTGGTGGCCACCCCTGTCCTGGGTCAGTGCTCCAGCTGAACCTTCCATGTTCTTCTTGGGCACGCCCAGGCCTCCTACCCCAGGAAGACTGGCACCCCGCTCTTGTACCTGAGGCAGACCCTCCAAGGCTGAAGCCTCCGAGGGAATGACCTCCTGTGGGGCGGTGAGCAAGCCACAGCACAGGCAGTCGAGCAGTCAGCCTGACTCCTCCATGACTGCTGGTCCCAGGGAGGCCTCAATGAACATGGAAGAAGGGATGGAGAGAGGACCACCAGTGCCAGTGCTGAAACCCAGCATCTATGTGTCCTCTGCCTCAGGCCTGATGTGTACTCTCCCAGGGCTCGCCCAGGCTGACTGCAGGAGCCAAGGCAGGCTGGGGCCTGGCTGGTCGGCATGGCTGCAGTGTGGGTGCAGCTCCCTGACCCCCACGTGCCCACAGGCATACACAGCCACCGAGCAGGAGTTGCAGCAGCAGATGAGCCTCGGGGAGCTGTGCCAGCCTGTGCCCGTCTCCTTCGAGCCCGTCAAGAGCTTCTTCAAGGGCCTCATGGAAGCCCTGCAGAGCACCTTACAGAAGCCACTGGACATTCGCCTCAAGGAAAGTAAGTCACCCCCTCTGTGTCCCTACCTCTCCCAGTGCCCTTTAGCCCAGAGATGGTGGCAAAGGCCACCACCCTAAATGGCCACTGTGCCACACAGTGGTCCTAGGCTGAGTGCAAGGGCTCCCGGGCCTGTGGCCATCCTGTCCTTCCTGAGATCCAGTCCTGCCTCCCTGCGGCCCCACTGCTCTTCTTCTGCCCCTCTCAATGCTCCTGGGTCCTGCACGCCTCAGCTTTGCCTGCCCTGGGCTCCAGCTGGAATGGCCACCTCCTCCTCCTCTTCCTCTTCCTCTGCCTGGGGCCACGTCCCACGTCCCTGCCAGGCAGGTTGGCAGCACAGGTGTGTTCACCTGGGAAGCTTTTCCCTGCCACCCAATTTCCTAGCTCAGCCATCATGTCTGCCTTTTCCCCTGCAGGGCCTGCCCCATGCCCTGCCTGGAGGGGTTCGTGTGCACACACAGACCCCCACCTCACCCCTCGCAAATTCCTGAAGGGCACAGATCATTTGGGGTTCCGCTCTGAGGTCCCCACAGGGCCTGGCACAAAGCAGGTACTCAGATTCAGTCATTCATCTCTGTTATTATGGTTCATTCAGAGCATTTATTGAGCCCCTATCGCGTGCCTGGCACAGCAGGACACAAAACAAAACTCCTGCTTTTGTGTGCTCAGTCTTCTGGGGGGAAGACAGACAATAAACCAATGTGTCAGGTGATTAGAATCTCCATGAAGGAAAATACAGTGTGCATGATGGAGAATGAGCAGGAGGCGGCACTGGTTGTTTTTTGGGGGTTTTTGTTTGTTTGTTTGTTTTTTGGTTTTGAGATTTTTTTTTTTTAAAGACATTTTTGTGATAGCACATGTGTGCTTGCTGGAGAAACAGAAAGACAGACAGAAAGCAAGAAATCATCCCTCCAGGGGGGGATGGTCACAGTGCAATCCCCACTCCTCCATTTTCTCGGGCCCATGGGCACACATGCACATGCACCCAGCATGAGTTTCAAGCCGCTGGGTTGGGACTTGAACCAAGGTCGACTACATGGGAGGCCAGCATCGTAACCATTACACAATCTGCTGGTCTCGAGGTGGTGTTTTATATGGGGCAATTGGCAAGGCCTCTCTGAAAAGGGGACACATGAGGTCAACTTAGGAAGCACCCTGTAGGCTCTGGGGAATCTGAAGGGCCAGAGGGCACAGTGGTCAGATGCATGGCCTGGAGCCAGACTGCCCAGTTCCTATCCCAGGTCCACCACTCCCTAACCTTGCCGCCCTGGGCCAGGCACCTAACTTTCCTATGCTTCCGTTGCCACGTCTGTAAGGTAGAGACCCTACTGTGGCTCCCTCGCCCGGGGTTAGGTGAGGAGTAAACGAGCTCTTACATGTGAAGTGCTCAGGGCAGCATTAGCTACCGTCGTTACTGCCGCCACGTCTGCAGAAGTGTGTTTTAGACAGAGGGGAAATCACGTGCAAAGGTCCTGAGGTGAGATCGGAATGAGCTGGCTGCGCCCAGGGAGCAATAAAGGGTCAACAGCAGTGGATATGGAGTCAAAGGGGAGGGAGAAAGAGAAATAAATACCAAGGAGGCTCCAAGGATCTGGGCCTGACCAGCTGGGGAGAAGCTGCTCTTTTGTGAAATGGAAAAGAGCATTTAGAACGGGAGGGAAAGAAGTATTCGGAGCTGTTGGATTTGAGCGGTGTGACCTCCTGTGGTGACAGTGCAAAAGCAATGGGAGCTGTGACTCTGGCCATCTGGGCAGAGCGGATGGACGTTGGCTCAGGGAGGGATTTTCATAGGTCATCCCAAGCCAGGTTGGGGCTGATCAAGGAAGGCATGTCAGGAGCTGATGAACCCCAGCCCAGACAGCTGGGAAGGAGGCCACATGGACCAGGCCCTGGAGGGAGGGTCCCAGGCAGAGGGGACGGGAAGTCCCACTCCCCGTGATGACCACCCATCCTTCCTTTCTGAGAGCTCCAGCCTTTCTGAGGACTCGGCTCTGATTTTTTGGGTTTTTTGGGTTTTTATCCTGGAAGTTGCATTTCTGCCTTTTATTATGCTGATGACTACTTCTTTTATCCCAGAGCGCATACACATGCAAGGGAGAGAGCGGAAGAGAGAGACATAAAAAACAAGAGAGAGCCCCTCAAAGGGGCCTGGTCACATTTCCAATCCCTCTCCTCCAATTCTCCATCCTGTCAGGATCCTGGGATTGCACCAGGCTCAGCCCTGGCTGGGACTCAAACCTTGGTGGGCCTAGTGAGATCTGGCTTCCTCTACATGGCTCTTACGGCGACAAGGCCACCTGCGTTTCTGCCTTTCTGATGCTCCGGTCCTGCTGGTGTGTAGAACTCCATACTGGCCTGCCATTGCCTATTTTCGCTTGTTCTAGAGTTTTCTTGTCCCTGTGAATTTGCATTTCCTACTTAAATTTGCATGCGATTCTTGGGGAGAGAGTGTGCGAATCTCCAGTTTTGTGGTATTTTTAGTATGCTTTATTTATGCAGCTCGCATGAGCTCCAGGCACTCACTGCTCACCGTTTGTTACAGACGTGACCTGCCAGCTCTTGGGCTCCTCCCACACCAAGCCCGGTACCTTTTTGAAAACAAGCCCCTCACCAGAGCGATGGCTCTTCTTAAAATGTAAGCCCCCTGGGAATGGAGAGAAGGCGGGAGGGTAGGATGCTGGGGAAAAGGAGGTTCATAGAAATGAGGCAACTGGGAAACCAGTAGTTAGCGTAATGGCTATGTCGCTGGACTCCCACGTAGTCGACCGCGGTTCGTGTCCCGGACCCAGTGGCTTAAAACTCACGCTGGGTGCGTGTGCGTGCGTGCCCAAGATCCCGAGAGGAGAATGGAGGAGAAGGGATTGCGGCGTGACCATCCCCC